AATGGGCAACAGACCCATTTGACATACCACTAAAGCTAAATGCAAACATATTTATTTAGCAATTTGGGTGAGCAATCCTTTTACAATGAGAATTTTCTACATAATTTGAAGGAAAACAGGAACTTATTTATGTGAACTAAGCTTTACATGAACAAAGATGTCAGCCAGTGTCAGAGAGATGCATCACGTTGAAGTTGTAACTTTATGTTTACTGCACGTCCCACAAGACACAAACACATTACCTTTCTTATTCAGAGTTTGTGTCAGATCTCAAAACTTTTTCAGGACTTTGTTCAACCAGGGAGAATGAGAACGAGATGAAACACAGCCAAGACTTTCATCTTTTTAGAAAAGAAAGCCAACCCACATACAACTCACAAACAGACCCTGTGTTTTTTCAGGTCTCTCTATACTGTAGATGCTATCAGTTACCAGTAAGATCTTGTCTGATTCGCACATTACTCTAAACCGGGAGGGTATAAGATCAAAACATTAATTGTTACCACCGAGCAAAAAAATAAAAAGGAGTATAAACAAATGTTAAACATCGTTTTCACACAGAGATTTAACAACTTCAGTCAAAGCAGCCTTGCCCAAGCTGGTGATGTGAGCAAATCATCGATGTGTTCAAAACAGATGCAGCTGCTCAGGCTGTTCCACTAAATAATGAGGCTGCAATTAGAAGAAACACTTTTTGTCGGCATTAAAATATCAAGCTGTTTCTTAGTATACCACCACAATTATAATGCTAACCATGAGCAACCCAGGACCTTGCCTTCTCAGCTTGTCATAGTAGCAACAGACAACTTACAGTGCATCAATATTTCACTGCTCCATTACTTCAGGTCTGGTGGCAGAGGCTGGGAGAGCAGGAAACCCCATGGGCAGACAGCAGGGTTCAGAACACAGTCAAGCATTCATCTCACCTCTGGGAGAAAAACAGCAACACTGCCTCACAACACAATCTAAATTGAGTCGTCAAATTCGCCTATTAAAGTATAACTGGATATACCTTTTAATCTCTTTGTTATTAAGAAAGATCCTACACATTTTCCACACAACTACACTACATAAAAGTCACAGAGTGTGCCAAGAACATGCATTGTGGAAAGTAACTATTGACATTTAGTTGTTAGGTTAGCTAACTTAGTCAGATGGTTAGTCTCTAGTTCTACAGAGGCTTATCATTGGGGCTCATTTCTGTGTGTCCATTTGCTTATTTTGAAAACTTTAGGCTGCTTGCCTCACAAACATTTATCATGTTTGAATTTCTACAATGGAGGAGTGAAGTTAGCATAACCCACAGTCAGAATGGCCACAATGATGAGAGTACATTAATGAGATGCACTAAAATCAATATGTGATAATGTTGAACGTCACAAAAATGATATTACTTTGATAAATAAATAGATACTAAGTGTAATCTTCTGCTGCTTTCAGTGCAAAAACAATATCTCATTTAAAAGAGTGAGCATTGAACTCAACACAAAAGGCACCAATAGACAAAATACAGTTACATTTTAAAGTGCAGTTTTCTACTCAAACTCTCTTACAAATAACAAATAATTCTCTGAATTAAATATCACTGTCTTTTGATTTGCGTGACCAGGTTGAGAATTTTTTTTTTCTATGACTTCTTTTCACCATAGATACATAAGTTGATTTGGGTAACATGTTAGCAAACATTAGCATTACTTTGGTCATGTTTTGTGTTTTGGGTTCCAGCTCCGAAGACAAACATCTGTCTCTAAAGCTTTAATGGTCCACCATGCTCACCAGCTTGGCACACTATGTGTCTATCTGCTGTTTGGTGCTGGGTAGATAGTGAAAGTGGGTTTATCAGAGATTGTTTTTGCAGAGAAGAGCTGCCTGCTACGGCTGAAAATGAGGTTTATGAGAAGGATGAGACTGATTCCAAACAGTAGAGTTGCATGTCCTAAAACCAAATCAATGAGCTGAAAGATCCTTAAACGCACCATGGAACTGAGCGGAGCTGCAGGGTCTGGCTCATCACTACGCCAACCCCTTTCATTATACCCATTATAGCCATTTGAATCATTGCAAATATAAAAATATTGAATACTGCAGCTTTACGTAATGGAACAGTTTATCTGTGAGATATAACCTCTACAAGGTTATTACACTATGCAGGCTTCTTTCTTTACATTCCTTCTATAAAGGGGTTTTCCGAGGCATATAAGAGAGTACATAATGTCATTTTCCTTCTTTATAATCTCATCTCCCTCTGATGCATCATGTCCTTGTACTCCCACTCACACAGGCCATCTGAAATGCATACTGTAAATTAATGATGGCCCCCTCAGCCTACAGTGGAGAAACATATAATAAATCCTCCCACAGAGTCTCCCAGGTAGTGACACCCACCCACAACACCCATCCAATTTCCATATACAGTCCTGCACATCCAGGCAGACACATCTTATCTTTAAGAGGAGGAGCTCGCCACTCTCCAACCCCCTCCTCCCCAATGACATGTGTCACCACGGGGAAAGTGACATCGGCTGCAGACTTTACATGATGTGACCACACACACACACACACACACACCACACACACACACACACACACACACACACACACACACACACACACACACACACACACACACACACACACACACACACACACACACACACACACATACACACACACACACACACACACACACCACACACACACACACACACCACACACACACACACACACACACACACACCCTCATGGAGACTGACGAAACACTTGCTGACACACGTGCAAACCCTGCACTCTCACATGCACTCCCCTGATGATAGGAAAGTAGGTCAAGGACAACTTTCTATGAGGGCAGAGAGAAAAATCAAATCTGCGTTGAGAGAGTGACTCTGGCTGCGGCACAGAAAAGAGCCCACAGAGTATGATTTATAATCCAAGAGGCGGAGATGTGTTAATAAATAGCCAGGGGGCATGACAGTTGGGAGGAGGAGAACACAATGAGTGCTGTCCATGATGCACTTAACAACCTATTTAGTAATGCTTAATGAATGAAACGTGAGCATTTCAGAGTGTATCAACCTTTTTTATAAACAACAGCACTGATATTAGCTACCAGCTCACAGCTCCTGTTGGTTGCAGTAAACAGCTTCACAACACTCTTAAAAGGGGCACTATTGTGCTTTTTGGGGTTATCACATGCCTGTAGTGTGCTAGACTGTTTTGTGTGCATGTAAATGGTCTGCCAAGGCTTAAATCCCAAGTTGACGCCAGAAGGAGTTTCTCTACCACACCCCCCCCCCCCTGCCTGAAACGCCTCCATTGCACTCCTTTGTGTGCTTTAGTAACATAGCGACATCACTATGTAACACACGCGCTTTTAATGGCTAGCGCTTCAACACATTGCACGTGATAGGCTAAGGGGCGGGACATCTCTAACCAATCACAACAGAGCTGGTCAGCTAACCAATCAAAGCAGACTGGGCTCTGGTTTCAGACAGAGGGGGAAAGAGGTGCTGCAGCACAGGCAGTATGTTCAGTATTTCAGTTTTTTTGTGTGCTGAAGCCTCTGCCATAAATAATGTTCAAAACATTCTCTTCGACAACAAATCGATTCATTGTGAAGCCAAGACTTGGAGGAATATTCCCCCGATTTTCTCTTTCTCCAGAAACCCATACATTCATTTCTGTAGGACTCCTATCAGGTTGCATTTGACAAAGAAAGGCACAACAGAATAACAAAAGTGTCTCCTCCTCTGTTATATTCCCATCTCTCTGGTTGATTGTGATTCACAATGTCAAGCAGCAAATCCTCCAATCTGCAAAGCATCATCTCACATTGCAACACTCTTATCAGCTCTTATGACATTGCACCCGAGAGCTCTATGCTGGCAATAGAGCCGAGGTCCTGCTCACTCCACCCATCCTCTAATAATACTCCTCCTCAGAGGGGTGAGGAGGAGTGGAGAGGAGAGGGGTGGAGGTAAGAGCCGTCCCATCATTCTGCCAGTGCCGGAGTTCCCTTCTCTCTGCAGCTGCAGCCTCTGCCGCAGTGATGAGAGGCGAGAAAAAAAAAGTGGGGAGGGGAAAGGTGAGCTGGTGGCAAGAGAAAGAAGGGAAGGTAGCAGGAGGAAGCTGCTGATGATGATGAGTGTAAACACCCCCCTCTGTGCCAAAATACACCAACTCAGCAGGATGTTCTGCATGGACACCAATCAGGTCTACCGTGCTCAGGTCTTCTTTTATGAGGGCTTTATGTCTATTGTTTCATTAGAAGTGTTTGCTGAGCCGTGTGATCTAGGACAGGACTTGAGAGAGGCGATTAATAACTCTGAGCAGGAAGGAGCTGTCTTCAGGGCCAACTTCTAAAAACTGTGCCACTTATTTAACCAGGAGGGGGGGGGGAGCAGAATCAAATAAGGACAGTGAGGTGAGTGTTCAGTAGGCTGGTGCACGTGTGTCGGCAAGATGCATCTAGAACAGTCCCCCTCTGCTCCTCATTGTAACAACAATGTACTTTGTCAGTCCTATTATTATTCCGAGTCTTAGCTATCTTCTGGGGGATTGCCATGTTTTGCAAGTTAATTTCCCATCATGCTTTGGGGGATGTAAACAGAAAGTATTGTAGTATCTGTAAGCTACAAGTTAAGCTTGGTTAATTTAAGCCTATAATGGTTCCATTTTGGCAATTGGCACCATTTAACATATGCCAAAATAAGTATTAGCAGCTTAATATCGCAATATAGCCTTCAACGTACAACTATCACAGAATTACTTTGATACTGTAGGAAACTTAAAATCGGATGATTTTCCAAGTTCTGGGTTAACAAGGATCGTCATATCCAAAAAACTGTAAATCACACCGTATATCTAAAAGAATGTCTTTGTGTTCACATAATAGCAGCCTCAACTCTTGACTGTCTTGGTTGGTCTTGGTAAATGCATGTATCTCTTTTACCTCAAATCTCTACTTGTCTCACGGTTCGAAAATGAAAGTGTTTGCCCCTTACCTTTGGAGAAGACGGTTGTCCTTGGAGTGACATCCAGGTCCAGGGACGGGCTGAAGGGGAAGGCCCAGAGCTGAGACAGCCTGGCGAGGAGCGTCAGGAGCAGCAGTAAAGGAGGCAGGGGGGGCCGGACTGATTGCTGGTCTCCCATGTTTAACACACAGACCCGGATCCAAGCACAGCTTCGATCGCACTCAATTTGTTCGAGACAAACAATCTGACTGGAGAAATGTGTATCTTCACGCCCAGCAGGAAGCAGACTCTTTGATTATCCTCCAGCTGAGAAAGATACAAAAAAGATTGTATTTCTAAATGAGAAATTATACAGAATACCAAACCAGAGGCTGTTGTTGTTGTTGACATCAATGCAAAACAAATCAAACATTTATAGAAAAAGATGACCACCAAATGGGGACATACTATACTTATTAGTAATATTTAAACTTGGAGAAGAAGTCTTGAGGGTCTTTAGTTAAGTAAAAGTGCCGATATAACAATGTAAACATACTCCATTACAAGTAAAAATAGAAACCCTATTAGTATTATCGGCAAAGTGTCTTATTATTTAGAAAAATAACCGTTGTGACTGATATATTATACCATTTTTTTAATAATAATGCAACAATGTGAAAGCAGCATTTTACTGTTGCAGCTGACACATAGGCTACTCTGCTGGCTAGTTTCTCCTGTGGTTCCCTACCTAGTGGTTGGGTCCACTCCAGTGAGACACAAAGTCAATCTAAAGGGTCGTAGGATGATTAATGTGGTCATAAAAAAAAAAAAAAAATGTTGTCTCCTTGGGTCCAAAAGTGATATTTAAATTAAATGATATCTAAAGGTGAGCGGGGAATTGTCTCAATTGGTGAAAATGTGACCCAACTAGACAGTGCTTTCTTTAGTATATTTAGCAATGCATTGATGTACTTCAGTTAAAAGAACATTGTTACCCTTCAAATGTTGTAAAGTAGAACTAGAAAAGTAGGAAGAGGAAGTCAAATCAACCCAAAATTGTACTCAAATAGAGTACTTTAAGTAAATCTGGTTAAAGTTTTACTTTGATAAGCCATGAGTACATTATCAAGCCTTTGATGCACAGACATTTAAACATACTCCCCTAATATCTGTTGTGCTAAACAAAATGACCGTGTATGAACTCTCTTTTCTACTTGACAGCACGAGCAGAAAACCAGTTGCTGATATGCACCATCACTCTCTGATTACAACCAATTAGCCAAAGTGAATGAGTGAGGTGCTGTTACATAAAAAGGCCATTTAAAAAGTTTGGAGAAGTTAAATGATGTGCCCCTGTAATGTGATATTGCAACATACGACTCCATCTCTTAATTAACCGGCTGCACACTGAAGCAGCATGACGGATGATCTAGAGATTAGGCCCCGTGCCATCAGCACAATCTCCGCCTGGCTGCCCCCTTCTCTGGCTCTGTCACTGAGCCAGTCTGTCAAAGGGTCAACACTGAGAATTCCGCTCTGCCGGATTATGACACTGGAGAATTCCCAGTTTAATCTCCACTGCTGCTGCTGCTGCTAATCACTCGCAGTATAAAGAACAGTGAGGTTGATGACCTGTCTGTAAGCAGTCGAGTGCTAAGCTTAGAAACTGACGTATAAGATGACAAAGTGAGCGATGACAAGAGAAAAAGTAAGTGATGGTGCAGGGATCCTCTCACCTTACGTTCATCCAGAACTATTTTATTAAAGCTGGCTTTACTCACTGCTTTTGCTTCACAAAACCACTGCTGTGCTGTGTCACCTAACTCATACTGAAAACCTTAATATATTTAAAGCCTGATTTTCCCCACACTAAGTTACATTTGTAAGGAACTGTAGTTGCAGTTTTTTTTTTCTCTCAGCATATACTAAGCTGAGTGAGGAGTCTTACCAACATACTTACTTTACTGAAAGTTATTACATATTTGCAATTGTATTCAAACGTGAAGAATTTGAGATGCAGTTAAAGGAACAACTTATGATACTCAATATAGCCTTTAAAATCAATCTAAATCTATGCAGCAGAACCAGATATATGGTCTTCTTTATTTCACACATTCACTTTGTCAAAATGTATCGCCTACATTACCCACAATGCAACTCAGCCACTGACAGTTGGTTCAGAGATACAGGTGTGTTTGTGCTGCTAATGTAGCCTGAAGCCACCAACCTCAAACAGAGAAGAGGAGCAGGCTACTGAGGTCTGCTAAGCTCACTTTTTATAACTCCACACTCACATTTTTTTAATTTAAACTCAATAAATGTACTTTAGTGGCATCACTAGAGCAACAACCCAACTGCAGGCTTGTTTGATGACTGCTGTCCTTATAACCACAGTCTCCCAAAACTGTGTCAAAATTGAGGTCAGCAGATGACGAAGACAGGCGGGCGTGCTGGTGGGAAGCCCTTTGGTGTGTCAGCTGCTGCCCTCGTGAAAAACACAAAGCCAACACTCCATTGTTTCAACACATCTTCATTTGCGTTGTGTACACTACAGAAGCTGTCAAGGCCAACGTGATGCTGCTTCACTGATGAAAGCATGGACACGTCAGGAGGGGAAGGTAAACACATCTGCCTTGAACGTGACACAAACCAATATGTCATGCATGATGGGAGGCGAAAGGGATCGAACAAAACAGCAGGCGACGTCTGAGGCACCTTTTACTTAACAACCAATATCAGCTACTTCCTGTTTATTGATCCATGAGCAGGGTTTGTTTCCCATCTGCTGGGACATTTTTAGCCACATGTTATTAAACATCCTAAAGTGAAGTCATGACAGATTATGGAAAAGCGTGCAGAGTAGGATAAAGCTGTTTTCCAATATGAGCATTATTTGATAAACACCTAGTGTGACATTTCTGCAAAAAGATCGATAAAACAGACAAGCTATTCCTGTATTTCCTTTCAACTGATGCCCCTTTAAATGCCAAAAACATTTTTGAAAAAGACTGAGTGAATATATTTTTGAAAAGGGGAATTCTGTACGCTTAAACATTGCAGTTTCTTCTTTCACTTTTTGTTCTGCCCTTGACTGAAACCATTGGGAGTTGGCGTACAGCTGAATCATAAATAGGATTACTCGCACATTAAAGGAAGAATGAGTGGGTTCACCCTGTGGGCCACATTAACTGTGATGTGGAAGATCTTTCGACAAATCTTATCAGAAAAGCATGAAATCATCATTGTGTCACATATAATCTGCCTTTTCATACATTGAACATATAAAGATGTAAGATGTGTTGCTCTGTTTGGGTCCATTTGATAAACAAAACCCGCACATTATGCCATCATGCTCGAAAGTAAGAACCAATCATGATGTTTTGGGACTCAACAGGACATGTATTCAGAGGAATACCATGAATGACTCATTGGGGACATTTACTTTTTCCTTGGAGTTCTTCTCCTTTACAAGTTTAATAATTAAAGTTAAATAATAGATATCTTCATGCTCAGTATACTATATAATCTAATTTGCACAGGGTGTGCTATTTGCAGTTTTATGGCACATATTCCAATGTGTAAATTGATCTGCTAGCCACATTTGAGCCTTGAAAATATACTAACACACTGCTCCTCTCTACAGTTATCTCCTGAGCCCACTTGACTTAGATTGGAGAGATGAGATGACCACTTCAGTCTTCTGTACCACTTTCTAACAAGGTGCTCTTTATATGTAAAGATGGATAATAATTGCATTAGGTTGGTTTAAGGATTTTGAGTCATGGCTGTTGTTGAGATAGCTCTTTAATTCAACATGAAGAGATTGTGTGACCTCTGACCTTCTGCAACAAAAAAACCTGAAGGACATCTTAACCACAATGTATTCATGAAGACACAGCCTATTCATATTTACTGCAGAATTGATGGATTACTAAAAACTACATTCTACAGAGCTGATTACTTGACTCCTTTATTATTAACTTTATAATTGACTCAACAGCAGTGATGGAAATATTGTACAACACATTTATCTAAAAAATTACAATTTCACATATGTAATCAAATCCTTCATTTTATTCAAGTAAAGAATCTGGATCATTCTTCCACCACTTCTCAACAGCAGCCAAGGAGAATATGAATGGGTCATATCTGATACTATTTAGCATTATTAATTTATTTATTAGGTTTTACTAAAAATAAAAAAAGCTTTTCAAACAGGTTATAAACGTATAGAATCTGACAAGAGTAACTGCTCTGTCCCAGTCATTCACATTAGAGATGCCATGTTTAGTTGAGCAAAGGATAACTTGATTGAAAGAAAAATAATTGCAAACCATTTTGATAACAATTAGGGTCATTTTTTTACAAAACGATAAGTCAACCTAAGGGAAAATGGCGCAATTTTTTTTTTATATAACCAATGTTACAGACATTGTTCATACAAAATGTGAGAAAATGCAGTTTTTAGTCGGTCAAATAGAGTTGTGCTGCTTTCTATATTGATATGGTAAATGGAATATCTTTTGGTTTAGGAATAACAAAACAAGACATTTAAAGACGTCACCATGGACGTTGAGGAATTTATATAGACATTTTGTATTTTATGACTTTCTAAAGATTACACTATCAATCGATTAGTAGGCCTAAGGAAAATTGACGATTAATCGATAGTGGAAAATGTTGATAGTAAAAATAATGAACTTTTGCAACAAACTAACCTTCTAATTTTAAGACATTTTGAATATATCTTTGTATAATGCTTTTACCTTCTGTCATCTACACCTATAAGCAACATATGCATGATTCTCTTTCATAGCTTCGACTTTAAGAAAAATACCGTCAGCGAATATGATTAAAAAGCTTTGAGACCGTCATAATGTATAGCCAGTGACACAGAAACACTCCACAGTTCACTTACTTAACACACACATTTAAGTATTTACACCCACACAACGGCAGTACACATCCACCCATGTGCACCTGTCCCGGACTGCAGCAGAGAGGGAAAACAGCACTGCACTCTTTACTCACCTTCACCTGAGCACAGATACATGTACAGAGACCGTGTGCGCAGGAAAAGTAGAACAAACATACTAAACAGAGGAACAGTAAAAAGAAAAGAAAAGCAGTAAGAGACCGACTCACCTGCTTTTGTTTCATGGAGTCCACAAATATCCTCCGAGTCGTCCTCTGCGCGACGAAACACCGAGCTGCTGCTATACTCTGCTGCTGCTGCTGCAGTTACCCAATGCACACACACACACACACACACACACACACACACACACACACACACACACACACACACACACACACACACACACACACACACACACACACACACACACACACACACACACACACACACACACACACGCACACACACACGAGTTGTATTGATACATAATACGTTGGGTTTACAAATGTGTCATGATAAAATATGTTTTTTTTATTTTTTATGATATAGGTTACAAAATGTTTTATGGATAAGATAAACTTGTATTTGTTTGTTTGTTTCATGGGCAATTGGGTTTGAATAAAGGCTCAATATATACAAAATGTTTTATTAGGTGACAAAATGATTTAAAAAATAATGTCCAAATATTTTATGACAGCTATTTTGCTGGGAAATACAAATAGAAATAAAAAGCTAAATTGTTTAACTGATATAAAGATTCTTAAAGAATAGCCTACTAAATGTGATTGTTTCTTAAGATGAAAACTGTATTAGCCCTGTCTGAGCATTTAGGCTTTCTAATGTGTGCAACTGTCTGTTAATATACAGTCAAGAGAGACTGATCTGTGTCTAGTGACTGACCCCTGCTGGAGAAGAGATGGAAAATATAAAACATTAAAGAAAGTTATTGGTATTTTTTCCCCTACTCTCTTCCATGCTTATCATAAGCACTAATATAGATGATTTATTAATGGAAGATGTCTAAGAGACTTTAAAAAGTAGGCTTTTAAAGTAACCCAAACCAGTAAGGTAATCAGCTTTTTTTTTCTTTTTCTTTTTTCAGTACTGGCAGGAGATGGTTTGTATTGTGCTTATGTATGAAGCAAAAAAAAGAAGAAGAAATTAGGAGTTGATATACTTGATTGCATCTCTTCTCCCCTTCACTGCACTGTAAATGTGTCAAGTGTAATTCCTGTAATGAACTTAGCCCCTACTCAATGTGGTCCTCATGCATCCTGCAGTAGTGTCGCACTCCAGTCTCCTCATCGTCGTCTTCCTCCACCTCCTCTCTTTGGTAGAAGTGGTTTATTGGAATTTACTACAATGCAGCTGTGCAATACCATTAGTTTCTGTCTTGAGAGCGTTGAGCTCCAGGTGGTTGTCCCTGCGCTAGGTCACCAGATGGTCCATCTCCCACCTGTAGGCAGACTCGTCCCCACCAGAGATGAGTCCGATGAGCGTGGTGTCGTCTGCGAACTTCAGGAGCTTGACAGACTGGTGACTGGAGGTGCAGCTGTTGGTGTACAGGGAGAAGAGCAGAGGGGAAAGAACGCGGCCTTGAGGGGAACCAGTGCTGATGGTCCGGGGGTCAGAGACGTGTTTCCCCAGCCTCACGTGCTGCTTCCTGTCAGACATGAAGTCTGTGATACACCTGCAGGTGGAGTCGGGCACGTGCAGCTGGGAAGAATTTAGTGAAGAATTTATGCTTCAGCAGCTCGGCTGCAGTTGGCCTTTTTTCTGGATCTTTCTGTAAACACAGAGAGAGCATCTTCCGGAAGGACTTGCCATACTTTTTCACCATTTCCTTGTCTGTGATGCCCGTCTCCAGACATGGAGGGTCGTTCTCAGTGGCGTAACAAGGTTGTGATTGGCCCCGGTGCAAATATTGTTTTGGCTCCCCCCCCCCCCCCCCCATCGCCCCAAACATAAGCGCACGCTGATGCGCTCACACATGTAACAACAGCCTGCCCTGACCTAAAACCACCACAGCCTGACAACGGCACAGCGAACTAAGAAGAGGATTACACCTGTTTCCTTGATGTTTGTCTCTGGGGAATGGGCCGGTAGGCCTACATGGACCGGTTGCTATAATATAGCTTTTGATCTTGGCGTCGGGGGTCTCAATAGCGACCCTATCGGTTAGGGCCCTTGGGGGAACTGTTGGACCACCGCTGGGCACAGCCAAATCTAGCCTCTCCTCCTGGCTGGCTGGAGAAGAAGGTTGCACAGCCACGGCCACGGATACAGCTTCACTTGTGGAGCTAGATGGCAATGATGGTGGTGAGGCAGGTGAGCTATCGTTAGCCTCCGGCTCCGGCTGCCGCTGCACGTCAACATTGCTAACGTTAGCGCTCGATTTTGAGGACGATGTATGACAAAAAAAAAAGTATAATTTTGTCAGTTTAGCTGTTACATTTCCTTGTTATCTCTTGTCCTTTCTCTTTTGAGCGCCGCTCTTGTGCTTTGATTTGCTGTACATTATAATTGCAAGCTATTACATTTTTTATAATGCTGCCGAACTTGCTGCTGCTAGCTACAGTACAGTACAGGTTTATTAAACGGTTCGCTCGTCACGCAAGGTATCACATGACATGAAAGGGAGCAAGGTCATTGGACAGACAAATTACAAATTCATTTAGGTTGCTTGGTTACTTTGAAGACTGCGTGAATTGGTCAATGCCATTGGGGCCCCAAACATTTAAAAACCCTTCTTTTTTTTGCATGGGCCCCTGGCCGGCTCTGGGGCCCACGTTGCAACGGCTGCACCGTCGATAGTTACGCCACTGGTCGTTCTGCAGAGTCAGCATCAGCACCTTCATTGGTGGGTATTGGTGATATGGTGCAGCCCCAGTGGCCAGTTCAATGGCTGTTATCCCGAAACTCCAGATGTCGGCTTTGAAGTCGTAGCCGCGGACCAGCTCCATGACCTCGGCGTCCCCACAAACGTCTTCCGGACCTTGTTCCTGGTCATGTCTTCTCCAGCTGCCAGAAAGGCACTCACACCAAAGTCAGCAATTTTAACAGAGTCACCATGAAAAATGTTTCTCCAGCCCCTCCAAGACTTCTTTCAGGATAGTGGCGATGCTAGCCTCATCCAACACTCCGGTCTTGTGCTCGCTGCGAGATGCTTGATGATGTCCAACCATAGACTGTGTCCAACACTGAGCCTCCACTGAGCAGCTTCATCACCAGCCACAGCTCATTCTTCACCACGACGAAGGAGGTATAATAAGACACAATGTTCGGGTGGTGGTACTGGCTCATGGCCTGGATCTCTTTCAGGAGCTCATTCATGCTGGTTTGACACTTCTCCAGGTTGATGCATATGATGGCCACCTTCTCCTTTCTCTTGCAGTAGGCTATGCTGCCTGGACGACTGCAGCGGCCCCGCTCCCTATCACCTCATTGAGTTCGTAGTCATCCCTGTCGATGGTCCAGGATTGCGAGGCCTTGTCGTCTGCCATGGTGTCGTTGTTTGAACTGTGTAAACCATAGACTGTATATAGGTGTAAACACTGCTTCTAAAGAGGAACATGACGCTGTCTGGAATAATATCTTTGTGGTTACTCCATTCGGCTCCGGTGATGCTGGCTAGTGATGGCAGTGTGACACTAATCAGCTCTTAGTAGTTTTGTATTTTACTAATAGGTAATTTAAAGTCTTTGCAAATCAGACATTACATAAAAACGTATGTCATTCCTTGAATATCATATCAATGCAAAAAAGACTGATCATTTGTCTTACAATGTTCCCTTTAAAAAGTAACTTATTTTACTTAAGTGTAATAAAACACGTATTTTACTTAAGTGTTTGGTTCTACACAACTACAGTACTCAGAATGACCAGTGGTCCTTTGAGAATAATGGATTTTATTTAGTGCTGTCAAAATTATCGCGTTAACGGCGGTAATTAATTTTTTGAATTAATTGCGTTAAAATATTTAACGCATTTAACGCATGTGCAGAATGGCCCGCCCCATACATGCCACCAGTGGCAGCGCCAGGGTATGGCTGGGGTAGGCTACAGCCATACCAAGAAATGGCTTAGCCCCACCATGAAAAATGATGTTAAAGTAAGCAAAATAAAGTCTGCCAACTCGCGCGGAGTAAATTGCACAGACAGCAGTTAGTAAGATTGATTTCAGTAGCCACGGTTTTGAAAACTTTTGTCACGTAGTGATCGTCTTCTCAATAGAACATCTTTGATAACGGCGTGGTGTTGTTGCAGGAAGTCCCGACGGAGAATACTTTTGCTGTAGTACAGGGGTGCACATAACTGGTACGCAGGTTATGTGTGTAATCTGAAATGCGTACCGTCACTTGTGTCACAAAGCGCATTTGCGTACCGACGTACTTGTGAAGCTTTTCCAGAAGGCGGTTAGATCACCGGACGACAGAGTCGGTCTCCGTGTGCACAGACAGGGCTGCTGTTAACGTCGGTCTGTACAACGGAATTGTGCCCAAACTACGCCAACCGGCTGCGGAGAGAGACTCCCCCCCCCCCCCTTCACTGGAGAACTGCGCTAAAACAGCTGATCACAACGTTCACACTCTGTGGTCAAGAAGTACTCCACGAGCCGCCGCCCCCCCCCCTCTGTCGACTTTCCTGAAGTACTCCCCCGTTGATAGAAATCAACACGTAATGAATTAAGACCCCACGGTTTGATGATTGATAGGTGTGTGGGTTGTCTTTCATTTTGACATGCAGAAAATGTTATAATAAACATAGATACTGTATGTTAAATGGATATATCCGCCTTCTTTCCATTCCCACAACAATATACATAAATAAATAGCATATTTTTGTAAATAGTTCGAATGGTGTTAGAGTTTATTGAAGGATAAATGTGTTTTCATAAATGTGTTAATGGAGGAACAGAGAACAGTCTGTTCAGTGCCACACATACACACACACACAGATTCACATGACCGAGAGTCACAAGATTCACACTAACAAATAAGGCGTTGGTCAACACCACATGATTGTCATGTTACTGTATTGTTGAAATAAAAAGAATGCACTGAGAGAAGGCGAGTAGAGTTGGTTAAGGAGTGGACATTGCATGTCACTCGCCGATTCTCCTTGCAGCAAGTAAACTTGAAACTCGAGTACTGTTATCTCTGTTCACTGGATTTGGTATATTGAACCGAGCTGGGGTTTTACCCTTACAAAGTAATATAGATACCCCACATTAATTGGTCCTTCGAGCCGGATTCCAACACATCGTGACGGGAAGGAGGAGGGGAAAGACACGCCGCAGTCTGTCGACAGCCGGGATCATCAGCCGACCCCGAGAAAGACCCGGGACGCAGAATTCGTGGCCGGGCCGGTGCTTATATGTCCAACCTCCCTCATCCTAGGCACGATTGACAGAATCCAACCGGACCAGTGACTACAGATAACGGGTAAGATAAAACGTTGATATACACGGTTACTCCGCCATTAAGGAGGGTGATAAAACGTTGATAGAGAAAGGCTACTCCGCCTAAAAGGAGGATCGACACGGCTACTCCGCCATTAAGGAGGGTGATAAAACGTTGATAGAGAAAGGCTACTCCGCCTAGAAGGAGGATCGACGTGCCTTTGGGTACACTTATGAGTGATTGAGTGAAAGCGGTGTGTAAAAGTGTCACCAGTGGAATCAGCGCACAGAGTGGAAACCTAACGGTGATAACACAAACTCTGTGGTCTGTTGAAGTACACGTAGTGGTGAATTAGGAATTAGGTTCCGACCGGCACGTTGTCCAGTAGGAACACCAAGCTAGAATCATGGGGTCCAATGGGAGTAAGCCTGCCGCTACAGGGGACATGAGATATATGGAAATATATAGTCACGGCAGCACCATTTATTGTAGCAAATGGTATAAACAGTACGGCTTCCAAGGGAAGCTGGAGAAAACAGCAGTAAGAGAATTAAGCGACAAATTGAGAGCAGCAACAGCTGAAACAAAGCCTGATGAATGGGTTCCACCCAGGTATTGCTGACTTTATCCGCAAGCATAATGTTAACCATAGGACATGCGACTTACAAGAGTGCCTAAATTATGCAGAACATGCAGCAACCCAGATCAAAGAAAAAAGACATAAGAAAGCGTCAGCATCAGCTTTCTTCATAGGAGAAGAAGGGGAAGAAAATCAGATTTTCTTTGTGGGACCAGGACAGGGGAGAGGCGGGTTTAACAGAGGACGAGGGAATGGTAGAGGAACAGGCAGAGGCAGAGGAGGAGGCAGAAACGCAGAAGGCAAATTCCTCTGCTACAGGTGCGGAAAGGAGGGGCACATGGCGAGAGACTGTGAGGAACAGAGACCACAGAACAAAGAAGGGGGACAAAAGGGACAGTACAAAGACGAGAGACATGCCCCCCCCCCCCTTCACATAACCTACATAGTTATGACAACTGACTAGATGTAGAAAAGGAAGAAGAGGACGTCCACACACATCACATTGACCTTTCTGAAGTATTACTGAATCTGTCAGACAACAGTATTAAACCTACCAGAACAATCAAAATCAATGGGGAAAAATTAGAATTCTTATGTGACAGCGGTGCAGACTCATCAGTAGTGAACAAAGAGGTCCAAAGAATGTGGCCACCAACTGGCACTATGTTTGTAAAATCAGTAAATGGACACATAAATCAGAGGTCCACTTTTTATGGAAGATAGAAGGTCAGGCCTCCAGGCATCCCTCAAATTTGTGTTCATCTCAAACTGCCCTGTCAATTTGCTAGGGAGAGACGGCATGGAAATGTTAAAAATCAGTGTAGTACCAGTCAAAGGGGGAATGCGAGCAGTAGGGCCCGGAGAAAAGGTGGAAGACCAGGTCTTCCTTCAAAAATCCATAAATACCCCCAACTACTACTGGTCACTAGACATGCCACAACCTGACGTGACAAACACAGGTGAACACCTGTTAACACTATTCACCCCACAACATGGCCAAGAAGTAATGAAACCTGACGCATTGCACGTTACACTAAAGTACAAGAACACCCCTGGCCCAGATAAAGACTATGATGTGCTCGTGCATCGACTGACACCACAGAGGGTAGTGTTCCACTCGATGTATGCAAACCAACACGGGGATGTTGCAATTGACGCTAGGGTCCCATCAACCACTGCCTTGATAATGGAACCAGGTTCCACGCCACACATATCAGTAGCTAGGGGCCCAGGGACTTCATGGAGAGACTTAGGTTTATTAGTGGCTAGAGGTAACAGGATAACAAAATGGACAGATGACAAAAACGGTTGGCAAACTGGAGGCGGGTTAAAGCGCAAAACTCTAGGGTTTACCCTATTGATGACACCACGCGCCCACCTAGACGACCCTGAACAACAATGATGTATGCTAAGTGAAGAGGCCTTAGAGGTCCTGAAAACGGTGCCGCCATGCGTATGGTCACAAGGAAAATGTGATGTAGGTTGCATGGTGAACGCAAAACCTATACACGTTAGACCAAAAACTAACCACAGACCCTGAGGGAACATTCAGAATAAACAACAAGATAGTACTCCCTGTTAGTCTCTACAAAACAGCAGCTCATTTGAGTCATGGGCCGTGCCATGTCTCAACAGGAGGGATGGTGACAATAATAAATGAACACTTCCATACATACAACTACATTACATTTTCTAAAAACTTTTGTAGAGCCTGTGTAGTATGTTGCAGACACAATGCTCAAGGCAATGAGCGACCACAGAGAGGAAAGTTCCCTCCACCAACATACCCGTTTCAACACATGCATATGGACTTCATCGAACTAACACCATGCCAAGGGTACAAATACTGTTTGGTAATGATATGTCCGTTTTCAAAGTGGGTTGAAATATTCCCAGCAAAACATGCAGACGCTATTACCGTAGCAAAAGCCCTATGCAAGACAATAATACCAAACAGAGGTATTCCAGAGAAACTGTACAGTGATAATGGTTCCCATTTTGTAAATCAGGTTATTACCAAACTGTCCGAACATATGGGGATAACATTAAAAAACCATTGTGCATATCATCCACAGAGTGCAGGCTTAGTGGAAAGAACAAACGGAACAGTAAAGTTAAGACTAAGGAAAACAATGGAGGAAACAGGAAGACCATGGGTGGAATGTGTGTCTCTAGTAGAAACATGCATGAGAATCACGCCCACGGCAAAAGGGTTGTCTCCCTTTGAGATCATAACAGGAAGGCAATTCAGACTACCAATCACAGACGAGGTGAGGGAGGAGGATGATGCTGAGGCAGAGACTACATTAACTGAATGGATGAGCAGACTCTTCAGAAGCAATGAGATAGCTCGAACAAATAACTTGCCAGACATTTCTACTCCCTTACAGGATACTCGAGTGCAGACTGGTGACCAGGTCCTCGTGAAGGTGATTAAGAGGAAGCATTGGCACTGTCCACAGTGGGACGGTCCCTACACGGTACTGCTGACAACACCGACTGCACTAAAAATCGCCGAAAGAACTACGTGGATACATCAGAGCCACTGCAAAAAGATAATACCTCTCCAACTTAACGACGGATAAGTGGTGGAAGTCCGGCTACAAAGGGCGGTGTTTCATTAGGAAATACTGGTCTCAACCCCGGTGAAGAAAACAACAGAACCACTATCACAAATAGACTATGTTGGGAAAGGTGTTGTTTGTAGTGACCCTGCTGGGTCTGACGCTAATGACTATAAGACAATTGAGTGAGGAATCCTCAACAAAAGAAGAAGTCCATCGAGAGAAAAAATGGTCACTACTCAACGATGTTGCAACAGACAGATAACGGTGACTATACTGACACAGACCCCTCTCAGAAGGACGAATATACTCACCTAACCTCCAATGTGTAAGACTTAAAGCTAGGTTACATATGACGTATGTCATATGACGAATGGTTCGAAAATGTCAAAAACAAGTGAATTAATTCTGAAAGTAATAAAGACACTGTAACCAGCTAGTAATTATGAAAAACAGGAGGGAATGTTAGAGTTTATTGAAGGATAAATGTGTTTTCATAAATGTGTTAATGGAGGAACAGAGAACAGTCTGTTCAGTGCCACACATACACACACACACACACAGATTCACATGACTGAGAGTCACAAGATTCACACTAACAAATAAGGCGTTGGTCAACACCACATGATTGTCATGTTACTGTATTGTTGAAATAAAAAGAATGCACTGAGAGAAGGCGAGTAGAGTTGGTTAAGGAGTGGACATTGCATGTCACTCGCCGATTCTCCTTGCAGCAAGTAAACTTGAAACTTGAGTACTGTTATCTCTGTTCACTGGATTTGGTATATTGAACCGAGCTGGGGTTTTACCCTTACAAAGTAATATAGATACCCCACAAATGGTGATTAATCATGATTAATTAATTTTTAAGCTGTGATTAATCTGATTAAAAATTGTAATCGTTTGACAGCCCTAATTTTATTATATTGTGTATTTGTGTCATTACAATTTAAATGAAAAAGCTATGCGTTAATGTTTAGATTACTTTTTTGCTGTAAAACGTATTATTTAGCTGGGTACTCATAATTTATTTGTTGATTAAATGTAATCCCATTGGTCACAATAGTGACCGTAAAACATATTTTCACTTATAAGGCTCTATAAATGTTACTGAATTATATATCAATGTATTTCCAGAAAATATTGGATAAATAAAAGGTCTCAATGAAATATGTGCAGTGTCACATGTTTAGTGTAAATTGTCACATGACTTAAGCTGTTCACTTCCTGGTTGCACCAAGAGAAGAGGATGGCTGCCTCAAAGCTCCCAGAAAAAGGGTTAGTAAAGAATGTTAACGTAAAGATAGTACAATGATTTTTGGTAAACATAATCTTTAAGGTATCTAGTATTGATAAATGCATTTGCAATAACTTAACTTTTTTAAATATGGAAACAGAAAGAGTAAACATGTTGACGGCAACAATAGTGACCGGCGGGATAACACAGTGCATCTAGGTATACACATACATTTACACATACATAGTCTTTTAACCTAATTTCTTAATGTGTTGTTTATTTTAGCTTTACCTTGAGTCAAGTTCTGGATATGTTGGATCTAGGTGACAGCCCTGATAAGGCATGCAACATTACAGTTATCCCTCAAACTGAGAAAGATGCTTTCCTCACTGATTGTGATAGCGATGGGTCAGATATGGACTATGAGGGGGAGCAGTGGCAGTTCTAGACCAATTTGACTGGGGGGGCCACTGGGGGGCCAGTTATTTTCTGAGGGGGGCACAATAAATGCAGGACGAAAAAGAGAACTAGACTGTATGAAGTAATTGCGCATAAGAAAACAATGCAATACAGTTATTGGTATTTGTTTCAGTACACTTATTTATTTCAGATAGATCTTATAGTTATTACTGTTAGCTTCAGCTTAAGTTATAGTGCAATGTTTGCACTAACACCATATTTATATAAAGATAAAGGCAATGAACAGTTACATCTCTACTTTACATAAGGGTGTCTGCTAGGGGTGTAACGGTACACGTACCCGTACCGAATAATTTCGGTACGGGCCCTTCGGTTCGGTACAGGTGTGTACCGAAGTGTACCGAACGAATATAACGTTAAACGTAAAAAATTGAGAACGTGAACAACTTTTTGGAAGTAATCTCAAGTGCTGCGTCGCAGCATTCAGAGTAATTTGCTCACATTGGGTTCAACGCGTCATAGAGCGAGCAAGTCATTTCATTGGATGAGAGGCATACTATGAGAGCTGGTCAGAGGGATGCGTTCAAATGTAGTCAGTAATTTGAGGAACTGTCGAAAATGAATGGCGAACGCAGATAAAGTTGAGCTCGAAAATCCTCCAGCATCATTGAAGTCTCCGGTTTGGGAACATTTTGGTTTCGCAGTTACGTACAAGGATGACGGACACAGACAGGTGGACCGAACCAAAGCTGTTTGTCGGCATTGTTCAACTAAAATTGGTTACGCGGCTGGCAATACATCAAACTTGCACACTCTTGAAATGGCATCACCCGAACGTGAATATCACCGGTACCAAAAGAAAAAAGACTGGAGTGCAAACTCAACTCCCACTAGCATTTAAGCCTCCACCACTCGCAAAAAGTTCAGACCGAGCCAAAGCTATTACAAACGCCAAATATCCTTATGTTGCCATGTTAGCAAAGCGCTACCTGGCTGTATCTGCTACCTCTGTCCCTAGCGAGAGGGTGTTCTCCACAGCAGGAGACATGGTTAGTGCCAGCAGATCTGCCCTTTCGGCAAGCAATGTGGACAAGTTCATTTTTCTTTAAAAAAACATGAAAATACAATGACAAGCAAGTACAGTACAGTTCAAATACAGATTATTTCAGTTCATCGAAATGCTGCACCTTAATGTTCATTGTATTATATTTTGTATTTATTTGAGTGAATACATTATTCACAGTTTAATAATAATAAAAAATATTGTTTTGTGAAAAACAATTCTGCTGTACCAAAAACGTACCGAACCGAACCGTGACCAAAAAACCGAGGTACGTACCGAACCGAAATGTTTGTGAACCGTTACACCCCTAGTGTCTGCACAATCTCACATTACAGCAACAAAATCCTGCGGTTTTTGGCAAACCGAGTACCAGAAAATATACATTTAAAAAAAACAAAAAAAAACTTTTCATTGTTAGGGGGGCCACAGGGGGGTCAGAGGTCAGCGTTAGGGGGGCACTGGCCCCCCCTGCCCCCCCCTAGAACCGCCCCTGAGGGGAAGTCAGGCCATTTGCCAGCCAAGCTGTTGAATGCATATGCTGAACTTCAGCAAACTGATCATGACAGGAACAACGTTATCAATGATGATGACATCCCCCTCACCACTACCCCTTCCACACCCCCCTCCGCTGTTCATGATAAAGAGCCAGTGGCCTCTATGACCCAGAAGGTCCAGTCAGAAAAGCCAAGGGCAAAGCTGCAGGTTGTCAAAAATAAAGATCCAGTGTTCAAACGATCGAAGAGGCCCGCCTCCGCTGTTATTCTAAAACACACAGTATACAGCCCAAATGCTGGGGAATGTATAAAACAAAGTTGCCCTGATCCAATGGATGTTTTCTTACTAATGTATCCACCTACCCTAGGAGAGATCACCATTGAAATGTCCAACGTCTACTCCACCCAGACCAAGGACCAGCAACTGTATCTGAGTATGGAGGAGCACCTCACATTGTATGGGATCCTTATCACCTCTGAGTACAGCTCTGTTCCAAGAAGACACATGTACTGGTCACTTGACAGTGATGTACACAATGAAAGCATTTCAGATGCAATGCGGAGAAATCGCTTTGATGAAATAATGGCCTCAATTCATATGGTTGACAACACAAAGATCACTGACGACCCATTTTTTAAAGTTAGACCCATCTTCTCCGACCTCAATCAGTCATACAAAGTCATGCCATTTCAGGAATGGCTGTCGGTGGATCAGAGCATGATCAGATACTATGGTCGCCATGGATGTAAGCAATTCATAAGAGGTAAACCAATGCGCTTTGGTTACAAACTATGGAGCCTTGCCTCATCCAGTGGTTACATGCATCACATGGAGCCATATGGTGGATCCCACACTCTCCTCCCTGAGACGGGGTAAGGTCAGGGACCCAGTGTTGTCCTTGGTCTTGCAGAGCAAGCTCAGGTGCCTCAAGGTTGCAAGTTCATCCATGACAACCTCTTCACTTCTCTTGGACTCCTTGATGAAATGACAAAAAGAAGATATGGGAGCTCTGGAACAATGAGGCAAAATCGTCTGTTTGATGTCCCATTCAAGCCCCAGAAAGAATTCATGAAGTTATCTCAGGGAACATCTGAGGTTTTGACCCAAGGAGACAAGTTGCTGGTCCGTTGGAGAGACAATAATGTTGTCACAGTGGCAACAAACATGGAGGAGAAATACAGTGAGACCTTTGTCAAGAGATGGAACAAGGAGCGACGTACATTTGACAAAGTCCCACAACCAAAATGCATCAACCTATACAATGAGCACATGGGTGGTGTTGACCTTCATGACCAACAGGTATCAAGATACCATATCTCGATCAGGTCTAAGAAGTGGTGGTGGCCCATCTTTGCATGGTCTCTCAACAGTGCACTTGTGAACAGCCATTTATTTTACAAGGACATTATGGGAAGGACCATTGATCTGCTCACCTTCTCAAGGATAGTGGCGCAGTCACTTGTGCAAAAGTGTGGCACAAAACCACTGAGCCAGGGCAGGAGATCTCTGCTGGCAGCTACTGTTGAACATCAGGTATGACAAATCATCTCACTGGCCAATCAACACGATGCATCGGTTCCAGAGATGTCGTCACTGTGACAAACGCACTACCTATAATAATAATAATAATAGCTTGGATTTATATAGCGCCTTTCAAGGGACCCAAGGTCGCTTTACAAGTAATAGGGCAAAAACAAACATAACATAACAAAACAAAAGTCAGACAGACAAAACAACAGATCGATTAGGGGCCGAAAGCCTTGGCAAACACATGGGACTTGAGGGCCCTTTTGAAGGCGTCGAGTGTGGGGATGTTGCGAATCTCCGCAGGGAGAGCGTTCCAGAGGGTGGGGGCTGCCACACTGTCCCCGAAGGTTCGCAGTTTGGTGCGGGGGGGCAGGCCAGAGTCTGAGGCATGTGCATCTGCATGTGAGAAATGCAAAGCACCACTGCACATTGAGTGCTTCAAGATGTACCATGGACAGTAGAAAGGGCACTATAAGCAGGGCTGCACACAGGGCCGTTTCTTCCTATATGCGGACTATGCGGGGGCATAGGGCCCCCGCGGCCACTAGGGGGCCCCCAAGCTGAAAGTATTTATTTATTTATTTTTTTTATTCATCCG